ATATGTATAACTTTTTTATATTTATTATCAGGAACAGCAAAACAATACTTCAACGAAGAATACTGAAAACTACGAATATAGTAACTTTTGTTATAAACAATTAAGAAATAAATAGTAAATATTCAACTTCAAAGGAACTATTTAACCTGAAATAATAATGACTACATGTATAATATGTTTAAACTTCCCTTTAGCATTAAAAATAAATGAGAAGCATTTGTACTCATTTTCATCACAATCTTTAAATATTGTTAAAATTCTAGACCACAGTGACATAGAAATATTTTTAAAACAATACGTACAATATTTCTATATACATAAACTACATATTTGTTATCAATAAAAAACAACGTATCGTAATAACTGCATTAACAGTGTTATTAAAACAATTAATAAATAAGTACTATACCAATTTTCTCAACAAACAAAATAAATTAAATTGATTTTACAAATATATTTAGGAAATTCTAGCAACTGTTCTGAACGAATTTTGTTTGAATAGTTTTTTGTATTAAGTACATAATTCCAAAGAAAAAAGTCCTATGCCACTTTTATGAGTATTTTGTTATGGGCTAGGATGTGTTTAATTTTCCATTTTCCTTTTCTTTTTAATTGCAAAATTCTGAGGATGTCTATAAGAAACGTGTTTTCTTAGAGCATCTCGGCTACGGGATACATGGGAACACGAATGACAAGCATGATATCCTTCCTGATGAGTTTCAAGATGAACTTTTAAGTTGTACTGATTGCTTAAAATTTTCCCACAGAAATCACACTTGTAAATCAATTCCTTTGTTAATTTTTTTTGTGGCTGATTGATGGTACATGTTGGTTTCATTTCCGGTTTGAAAGACACGTTCTGTTTAAAATCAGCTGTAATATCTGAAAAAAAAAATAAATTTATCATCATAAAGTATATGCAAAACGTGATATTATCGTCAGATACAGAGAAAATTTAAAACGCTTAAGATAAATCTAAATAACCACAATTTCAAATAGTATTTCAGTAATGAATCGTTAGAAATACGGACATTGGCAGTAAATTAAAGTTATGCTCATGTTTTATTTATGTTGACCGTAATTTTCTCTGATTACAATTAGCAATTAAAAACAAATTCTAAGCTCATCTACGAATAATTTGTTTCTTCAAAAAAAATTTGAAATATTAATTTATGTATTTTACCTTTCTTCAAAGGTTCGTCAATTCCTGGATGTACAGTGGGTGAAATTGTTTCAGGTTTTACAATATCTCTACTATCATCTTCTCCTTCTGTCCATTCTGGATAAACCTTATTATTTTTACATTTCGTTAGATCACAGCCTTCTATAGGATTGTCGCTACTGCTTTTGAAATTATTGTTACCTTCGAATGCCACCTGTTCGTTTGAGTACAGATTGTAATAATCTGGAAACTGGGAAAATTACATACTGGAATTACATTATTATCGGTTTTGGTATTTGAAACGATAGTACCTTTAGATCACTTAATCCTTGTATTTTGAGGAATTCCGCTACTGATAACAGCCTGGGTATTTGGGCACTTGTTACCAAGCATTGACCATAGTAAATGTACGATATAATGGCCTTTAGATCGTCATATCTTATGTTATGAAGAACCACTATCGGTTGTTGATTTGTTGGAGTATTCTGAAGAATTTGAAAATTAAAATGTAATTAGTCTTTTTAAATACAACACTCATGAGCAAAAGATAATCATTTTGTTTAGAGTTAATGTATACGTATTTATATTTTATTATTTATAGCAGTAGGGAATATTTCTCTTAAATTAGTGATTCTGTAGCGAAGAAAAGAAAGACTATGATGGTATATTAACTCCAAAAACTGTTCTTTGTCGTTTGTATAATAGGAAACAAACAATTGCCACATCATTTACAT